CACTACCACCACCACTATCACCACCACTACCACCACTATCACCACCACTATCACCACCACTATCATCACCACCACCACTATCACCACTACCACCACTATCACCAACACTACCGCCACTACCACCACCACTACCACCACTATCACCGCCACTACCACCACTACCACCACTACCACCACTACCACCGCCACTATCACCACCACTACCACCAATATCACCACCACTACCACCACTATCACCACTACCACCACTATCACCACCACTACCACCACTATCACCGCCACTACCACCACTACCACCACCACTACCACCACTATCACCAACACTACCACCACTATCACCACCACTACCACCAATCACCGCCACCACTATCACCACCACTACCACCACTATCACCACCACTATCACCACCACTATCATCACCACCACCACCACTATCACCACTACCACCACTATCACCACCACTACCGCCACTACCACCACCCCTAACACCACTATTACCGCCACTACCACCACCACTACCACCACCACTACCACCACTACCACCAGCACCACTACCACCACCACTACCACCACTATCACCGCCACTACCACCACTACCACCACCACTACCACCACTACCACCACCACTACCACCACTATCACCACCACTACCGCCACTACCACCACCACTATCACCACTATTACCGCCACTACCACCACCACTAACACCACTATTACCGCCACTACCACCACCACTACCACCACCACTACCACCACTATCACTACCACTACCACCACTACCACCACCACCACTACCACCACCACTACCACCACTATCACCGCCACTACCACCACTACCACCACCACTACCACCACTACCACCACCACTACCACCACTATCACCACCACTACCGCCACTACCACCACCACTATCACCACTATTACCGCCACTACCACCACCACTACCACCACCACTACCACCACTATTACTACCACGATCACCACCACCACTATCACCGTCACTACCACCACTACCACCACCACCACTATTACCACCACTACCACCACTACCACCGCCACTACCGCCACCACTACCACCACTACCACCACCACTACCACCACTATTACCGCCACTACCACCACCACTACCACCACCACTACCACCACTATCACTACCACGATCACCACTATCACCACTACCACCACTATCACCGTCACTACCACCACTACCACCACTACCACCACCACCACCACCACAATCCCTAACACGCGACACAAACCCAGTCCGGGCCAAAAACGAAATGTGGCCTTGAGCCAAGTTGACACGAGAGAGTGTGAGACAGAGTGAGAGTGAGTGAGAGAGTGAGTGAGTGTGAGACAGAGTGAGAGTGTGAGAGAGTGTGAGGGTGAGTGAGAGAGTGTGAGACAGAGTGAGTGAGAGAGTGAGAGAGTGAGAGAGTGTGAGACAGAGTGAGAGTGTGAGAGAGTGTGAGGGTGAGTGAGAGAGTGTGAGAGTGAGTGAGAAAGTGAGAGAGTGAGAGAGTGAGAGTGTGAGAGAGTGAGTGTGAGAGTGAGTGTGAGAGAGTGTCTGAGAGAGTGTGAGAGTGAGAGAGAGTGTGAGTGAGTGAGTGAGAGAGTGTGAGAGAGTGATTGTGAGAGTGAGTGTGAGAGTGAGAGAGTGAGAGAGTGTGTGAGAGTGAGAGAGAGTGTGAGTGAGTGAGAGAGTGTGAGAGAGTGAGAGAGTGAGTGTGAGAGTGAGTGTGAGAGAGTGTCTGGGAGGGTGTGTGAGAGTGTGAGTGAGTGTTAGAGTGTGAGAGAGTGATTGTGAGAGTGATCGTGAGAGAGTGTCTGAGAGTGTGAGAGTGAGTGAGAGAGTGTGAGAGTGAGAGAGTGTGTGAGAGTGAGAGAGAGTGTGAGTGAGTGAGAGAGTGTGAGAGAGTGAGAGAGTGAGTGTGAGAGTGAGTGTGAGAGAGTGTCTGAGAGGGTGTGTGAGAGTGTGAGTGAGTGTTAGAGTGTGAGAGAGTGATTGTGAGAGTGAGTGTGAGAGTGTCAGAGAGTGTGAGAGTGAGTGAGAGAGTGTGAGAGTGAGAGAGTGAGAGAGCGTGAGTGTGTGAGAGTGTGAGAGAGTGAGTGAGAGAGTGTCTGAGAGAGTGTGAGCGTGAGTGAGTGAGAGTGTGAGAGTGAGAGAGTGAGAGAGCGTGAGTGAGAGAGTGAGTGAGAGTGAGACTGTGAGAGAGAGTGAGAGAGTGTGAGTGAAAGAGGGAGAGTGTGAGAGTGAGTGAGAGAGTGAGTGAGAGAGTGAGTGAGAGAGTGAGAGTGAGTGTGAGAGTGAGTGTGTGAGTGAGTGAGAGAGTGTGAGAGAGTGAGTGTTAGAGTGAGAGAGAGAGTGTGAGAGTGAGAGAGTGTGAGTGAGTGTGAGAGTGTGAGAGAGTGATTGTGAGAGTGAGTGTGAGAGAGTGAGTGAGAGTGAGAGAGAGAGTGTGAGACAGAGTGAGTGAGAGAGTGTTAGAGAGAGAGCGTGAGAGTGTGAGTGAAAGAGGGAGAGTGTGTGAGAGTGTGTGAGAGTGAGAGAGTGTGAGTGAGTGAGAGTGTGTGAGAGAGTGAGTGTAAGAGTAAGTGTGAGAGAGTGTCTGAGAAAGTGTGAGAGTGAGAGAGTGTATGAGTGTGAGAGAGGGTGAGTGTGAGAGTGAGTGTGAGAGTGTCTGAGAGGGTGTGTGAGAGTGTGAGAGTGTGAGTGAGTGTGAGAGTGTGAGAGTGTGAGTGAGTGTGAGAGTGTGAGAGAGTGATTGTGAGAGTGAGTGAGAGTGAGAGTGTGAGAGTGAGAGTGAGTGAGAGTGAGAGTGTGAGAGTGTGAGAGAGTGATTGTGAGAGTGAGTGTGAGAGTGTGAGTGAGTGTAAGAGAGTGAGTGAGAGTGAGAGTGTGAGAGTGAGAGAGTGAGTGAGTGTGAGAGAGTGAGAGTGAGAGAGTGTGAGAGTGAGAGTGAGTGTGAGAGTATGAGAGAGTGATTGTGAGAGTGAGTGTGAGAGTGTGAGTGAGTGTAAGAGAGTGAGTGAGAGTGAGAGTGTGAGAGTGAGAGAGTGAGTGAGTGTGAGAGAGTGAGTGTGAGAGAGTGAGTGTGAGAGTGAGTGTGAGAGAGTGAGTGAGTGTGAGAGTGTGAGTGTGAGAGAGTGAGTGAGAGTGAGAGAGTGAGTGAGAGAGTGTGAGAGTGAGTGTAAGAGAGTGAGTGAGAGTGTGAGAGTGAGAGAGTGAGTGAGTGTGAGAGAGTGAGTGAGAGAGTGTGAGAGTGAGTGTGAGAGAGTGAGTGAGAGCGTGAGAGTGTGAGAGTGAGTGTGAGAGAGTGAGTGAGAGTGTGAGAGTGAGTGAGAGAGTGAATGAGAGAGTGAGTGAGAGTGTGAGAGTGAGTGAGAGAGTGTCTGAGAGGGTGTGTGAGAGTGTGAGTGAGTGTGAGAGTGTGAGAGAGTGATTGTGAGAGTGAGTGTGAGAGTGTGAGAGAGTGAGAGAGTGTCGACTCAGCCTCAAATGAGTGCCTGGTGCGGTGTGTAAACATCGCCACTGGGGAGACAAAGGCGGCCGGGCGTGGTGCTGGCCACCCACCCCCTCGTGTGCCGTGCCGGCCTTCATAGATGCTCGCAAACAGCGCTTGCCCCGACAGTCTGCTTAAGGTTACACGGGGGATCTTTGTCTTTGTGTGAGTGTGTGTCTAAATTAACAAGCGCATTCATTCATTAAGGTTTACGTTTTCGGAACATCCACGACCACCACTACCACTGCACAAAGACAAAAATCCCCCGTATAGCCTCAACATATTGTGAGGGCAAGTGCTGTTAGCGAGCACCTATGAAGGCCCGTATGGCACACGAGGGGGTGGGTGGCCGGCACCACGCCCGGCCGCCTTTGTCTCCCCAGTAGTGATATTTTTCACTCCACACCAGATACTCATTTGAGGCTGAGTCGACCTAGGGGAGGCCCAGGACCGATTCGGATAATCGTCACTGGTGGTGACCGCAACACAACCGCTCCGCACACACACACTCACACGCATGCATAGACTCACACGTCCACACACACACACACACTCAGACGCACACACACACTCACACGCACACACACACTCACACGCACACACACACACTCACACATACACACACGCACGCATACACTCACCCGTTCACACACACACGCGCACAAACATACACACACATCCTCGCACTGGCCCAAAAAGACCCCTCGCCCACTCGCAAACACTCACACAGACTCACACACAAAGACAAAGATCCCCCGTATAGTCTTCACAGACTGTAGGGGCAAGTGCTGTGCCACACACACACACTCACACGCCCGCTAACCCACTCACACACACTAACACAGACTCACACACAAAGACAAAGATCTCCCGTATAGCCTTCACAGACTGTAGGGGCAAGTGCTGTGCCACACACACACACTCACACGCCCGCTAACCCATTCACACACACTCACACACACGCACACAAATACAAAGATCCCCCGTATAGCCTTCACAGACTGTAGGGGCAAGTGCTGTGCCACACACACTCACACGCTCGCTAACCCATTCACACACTCACACAGACTCACACACAAAGACAAAGATCCCCGTATAGCCTTCACAGACTGTTGGGGCAAGTGCCACACACACACACTCACACGCCCGCTAACCCATTCACACACACTAACACAAAGACAAAGATCCCCCGTGTAGCCTTCACAGACTGTTGGGGAAAGTGCCACACACACTCACACGCCCGCTAACCCATTCACACACACTCGCATAGACTCACACACAAAGACAAAGATCCCCGTATAGCCTTCACATACTGTTGGGGCAAGTGCCACACACACACACTCACACGCCCGCTAATCCATTCACACACACGCACACGCGCACACACACACACGCACACACACGCACACGCGCGCGCACTCACTCACGCACGCGCGCACGTGTGTGTGTGTGTGCCAGCTGTCACTATAAAACCTCGCGCAGCTCACGGAACGCCCAGTCGCTCACCTGTGCACGATCCGCGTGCAGGAGCGTGCACACACACACACACACACGTGGACACACACACACACACACGTGGACACACGCACACGTGGGGATAGACGCGCACACGTGAACACGCACGCGCGCTGTCTGGACTTGTCAACTCAAGATTTTTCAGAAGGCATATACCGTGAGTACCTGTTCTGCACAAACACCACGCACCACACACACACACCACACTCAAGCAAATACAAAGGTGACCCCCGCTCAGTCATCTTTACCAGACTGTTGGGGCAAGGGCAAATCAGCGAGCACCTCTCAAGGTAAGTTCGGCCACCAAACACAGCCACCTTTGCCTCCCCAAGTGGTGATGTTTGAGCAACACCGCTCCGGGGGACTCGTTAATCAAGGCCGAGGCGACCCAGGGGAGGGCTCACGACCGGCCACAGGTATCTCGTCGCCCATCGCTGAGCGGGAATGGAACAGCGAAGTAGTCGTCTTCCACAAGACAAAGACGCCCGACTGTTGGGGCAAGTGCTATGAGCGAGTGGCACCTGTGAAGACCGGCACGGCTCACGAGGGCGTGGGTGGTCAGCATCACCCTCGGCTGTGCCCGGTGCGATGTGTACACACCGCATAAGGTGGCCATTTGAGGCTGAGTCGACCTAGGAGAGGCCCGTGACCGATTCAGATAATCGTCACTGGTGTTGGCTGTGAGCGGGAATGAGTGCTTGATACGGCGTGGGAACGTCAGCACCGGGAATACAAAGACGGGTGTGTGTGAGTGAGGAGCGGTGGCATAGCGGTTAGCGCACTGCGCTGCTAACCCGGTCACCCGACGATTCTCTGAACCCGTCCTGGGCCTCCCCTGGGTCAACTCAGCCTCAAATTATTGGGGAGACAAAGGCGGCCGGGCGTGGGGCTGGTCACCCACCCGCTCGTGTGCCGTGCAGGCCTTCATAGGTCCTGCTCGCTAACAGCACTTGCCCCAACAGTCTGTTCAAGGCCATACGGGGAATCAGTTTGTGAGTGTGTGTGTATGTGTGTGTGTTGATCTCTGTTTGGATGGATTAGAATTATATTCATACTAAAACTATTTGTATTTTACCAGCGAAGATCTATTGAGCTATATAGCTCGTTTTCGCAAGCGACTTGGCCACAAATGATGGCTCAACAAAAGTGACTTATGTGGACATGTATAGCAGCAAACAAATACTCTAAACTTGTGATGTTCATTCGACATGTGGAGGGGAAAACCGGACAACCTGGAGAAAAATCCACGCGACCACGGGGAAAGAGGCACGCAAACTCCAAATATACAGCAGCAGACGTCAGGGTCGGGATCGACCCCCACGATCTTCTGTACACCAGGCGAGGTAGTTAACATCTCCTAGCCACCGTGATGATGATAATGAGAGAGAGACACGCAGACTCCAAATATACAGCAGGCATCAGGGTCGGGATCGAACCCACGACCTCCTGTAGACCTGGCGAGGTAGTTAACATCTCCTCGCCACCGTGATGATGATGAGAGAGAGAGAGACACGCAAACTCCAAATATACAGCAGCAGGCGTCAGGGTCGGGATCTAACCCGCGACCTCCTGTATACCGGGCGAGGTAGTTAACATCTCCTCGCCACCGTGATGATGATGAGAGAGAGAGAGACACGCAAACTCCAAATATACAGCAGCAGGCGTCAGGGTCGGAATCGAACCCACAATTTTCTGTAGACCAGGCGAGGTAGTTAACATCTCCTAGCTGCCGTGGCGGCCGATGCATTGACATATCCGCTATGTCAAGTTCATATTAATTCCACGAGAAGGGACATGTACATTCTGCGGTGCATTGCTTGATGTTAAACAAATACTTGGGTGATCCTGTTCACAATCGGAGTATGTATTAACACTGGATGAATCCGACGAGCTATAAAGCTGTTTCTGCTGCTGCTGCTGCTTTGGAGACGGTGCACACATACAGCCAACAACAATAACAATATATTGTTTTGTTGGCGTTGTGACGCCAACACAATGCTCACGTAGCACGAGCAGCGCGACTTAACGGTATTCGTAATGTCGCGAGATTTTACGAAACAAATCAATCCCGTGCAGAGCCATGTGCTATGGAGACCAGCCCGCGGAAGCAGATATCACAGGGCTACCTCTGAGATCCCATTCGGTGATCCATGATTCGCACACACACACGCACACACACACGCACACACACACGCACACACACACGCACACACACACGCACACGCACACGCACACACACACGCACACACACACGCACACACACACGCGCACACACACACGCACACACACACGCACACACACACGCACACACACACGCACACACACACGCACACACACACGCACACACACACGCACACACACACGCACACACACACGCACACACACACGCACACACACACGCACACACACGCACACACACACGCACACACACACGCACACACACACGCACACACACACGCACACACACACGCACACACACACGCACACACACACGCACACACACGCACACACACGCAACACACACACGCACACACACACGCACACACACACGCACACAACACACGCACACACACACGCACACACACACGCACACACACACGCACACACACACGCACACACACACGCACACACACACGCACACACACACGCACACACACACACGCACACACACACGCACACACACACGCACACACACACGCACACACGCACACACACACGCACACACACACGCACACACACACGCACACACACACACACGCACACACACACACACGCACACACACACGCACACACACACGCACACACACACGCACACACACACGCACACACACACGCACACACACACACACACACGCACACACACACGCACACACACACGCACACACACACACACGCACACACACACACACGCACACACACACACACGCACACACACACGCACACACACACGCACACACACACGCACACACACGCACACACACGCACACACAGTGGAGGGGAAGCACTTTCCCACCCGCTCTGTCATATGAGAGTCGTATTCGTCGCTTGACAGCCAACCCGATTGTCACATTTTACTGGTAGGAACCTCCTGGTTACACCAGCCCACAGGGGATTATTGTGCCCGTCCGTCCGTCGTGCAGGGAGGGGTTGGGTGGGGAGGGAGGGAGGGGCTGGGTGGGGAGGGTGGGGCTGGGTGGGGAGGGAGGAGAGGGTGGGGAGGGGCTGGGTGGGGAGGGTGGGGAGGGGCTGGGTGGGGGGTGGGAGGGGTGGGGCTGGGTGGGGAGGGGCTGGTCACCCCGTGGTGCCCTTATAAAACTCAACGTTTAACCTACTCACGCCGGCTTGTGCCCGCCCTCACAGTCGGGCATATTTGCGGAATACACCACGCCGCCGTTGACCCTGGCCATTGACCGAGCAACCCAACGTTCCATCCAGCTCCCTCCGCAGGAATGTGTTTAATTGCCAATCCGATATTTCGATTATGAAATTATTTGGTGATGCTGCTTCTGCTGCTGTTGCCACGTTCCAAGTGGTGCACAGGCACAGTTTATACACTCAACGACAACACCGCGTGACCTTGAAATTCAAACTATATCATAGGCGACGTTTCAGACAATAGCCCTTTGCTCATAGCACATAGATGATCGATTTAATGAACAATAGTGAGACGCTGGAGAGAATATTCACATTCTATTTCACGTCGCTTGCTTTCTTGTACAAAGTCTCGCGTGTGGCAGACAGAGGTCTTTAACGTCTCACGAGCTCACGAGCGAATGGAATCTGTCAGGGTTTATTTAATTCGTTTCGTTTTTTCTTTCTTATCTCACACTTTTGTTATGTAGGCTAGGCGGAGTCACAAACCGCACCTCTCCATAACAAAGGCTCAGTCTTTTGTTATGCAGTCTATTCTTAGTCTTAAGCCTCACCTTACCATATTAATAAAAATTGTGCCGTACTTGGCCCTTCCCCTCTTCAATCATTATATAAACGGAGTGGTATCTCTTGTAATTTTTCATTTACGTGATATAGCTGTCGTGGCTGTGACGGTTCCACCTGAAGACGGAAGCTTGTGTTGCCTCCGAAACGTCGTGATTTTTATTTTATTTTACTTTTATGAATTTTAATTTTTTTTACCTACGTGACTTTACCGAAAAAACCTAAGAATATGAATCCTTGCAGTCACGAAAGCTTCAAATCTAGAACGAGCAGGGTCATTTCCTGCCGAGGTCGCTGTGAAGCGAGCAAAGGCGCAGCCCTGCAATTGCTTTGATCAATTGCTGGCAGATGTCGCCTCCGCAATCAGAATAAGAATACTGTTCGTATTTATTCTGGAGGAATCCGATGAGCTATTAAGCTCTTTTTCATAGACGTCCACTAGAGGCCGCTCTGCCTGCAATGGCAGGGATGCACCGTTACATGGAACTCGAGGGAGCATGGCGTATGTTTTTGGCCTACTCTTCCACGCTGGGACAAACGTCTCGGACAAGTCAAATTTAACTTTCGCCAAAACGCGGCGAATGAACGACCCTGTGTACACGAAGCAGCCCCCCTCCTCACCTCTTCTCTATTGGCCATAGACTCAACACTGCCCATAGACTCAACACTACCCATAGACTCAACACTACCCATAGACTCAACACTGCCCATAGACTCAACACTACCCATAGACTCAACACTGCCCATAGACTCAACACTGCCCATAGACTCAACACTACCCATAGACTCAGCACTGCCCATAGACTCAACACTGCCCATAGACTCAACACTACCCATAGACTCAGCACTGCCCATAGACTCAGCACTGCCCGTAGACTCAACACTGCCCATAGACTCAGCACTGCCCATAGACTCAACACTGCCCATAGACTCAACACTGCCCATAGACTCAGCACTGCCCATAGACTCAACACTGCCCATAGACTCAGCACTGCCCATAGACTCAACACTGGCCATAGACTCAACACTGCCCATAGACTCAACACTGCCCATAGACTCAACACTGCCCATAGACTCAACACTGCTCATAGACTCAGCACTACCCGTAGACTCAACACTGCCCCATAGACTCAACACTGTCACCCATAGACTCAACACTGCTCATAGACTCAACACTGCCCATAGACTCAACACTGCTCATAGACTCAACACTGACCATAG